GCTGCAGATGCCGACCCATGCTGCAGAAGCGGCTGTCGTCGAGGACACTGCTGCAGTGGTGGTGAATCACGATCCTGAGATGCATCTTAAAATTTTCTCAGACCAACACAAAACTTGGGCGGAGATGCACAACCTGGATTTGAAGGCCGACGAGGGCCAGCTCCTTGCGGCCATCCTCCAGTGGCCTGAGCAGTATAAACTCTACTGTGGGAGTGAGGGCTCCTTTCATCACTCCTTTGCAGTATGTGGAATTCTGGTGGCGAATGGCATGTATGCCCCAGACTTTAACAACCCCAAGCTGCAGGCTATCAACCACTTCACTGAGGACATGAAGTCTGCCCTGCTGTCTGGGGGGCTGAAGCAGTTTGAGCTTGCACTCCTTCTTGCGGGTCTGAATGCACTCTGCCAGGGAGACATGGGAGCACAGGGTCAGCAGGTCCGGAAGCGTGCAAAGTCTGCTGCAAGCAATGACTGCAGCAAGAGGACAAAACATACCGCACAGGAGATGGCGGGCTTGCTTGAGAAGGAGTTTCACTCGGACATCATGTCTGCATCCAACTTCAAGGACATCCCGGTAAGGTGTCATGGTCCAGGATTCTTTACTAATCACAACAAACATCCATAGAGGGTTTGGCACCACTGGTAAGGCATGACCATTGCCCCCGGGAGATCCCGGGATCGATACCCGTTAGGGTTAAAGTCCTTCCGATGGTGGATGACATTGCCCCCTTAGTTGATGGACGGTGGTGACCTGGGGTAAAGTTAACCTGCGAGCCGACCAGGAATGGAGTTGGGCCGCTGTCAACCCGGTAGATTCCGTTGGAAATGGTGGTGGGTGCGGAACCTGAGTGATCCACTGAGAAGTTGACTAGGGTGACTGGATGAGGGTGCCCCGAAATACCGGGGAAGGCAGGGTTTTGCAGGGTAGCTGCCATGGGTGAAGATACACCCCCCTGTTTCACACATCATACATCCTGATGAAATATTTGCATGGGCTAACCCTAAGACACCCTCCTGTAATGTTGTATGCTTTTATCAATCCACAGGAGGTGAAGGTTCGGATTGCAGAACTTATTAATAAATTTGGCAGAACTGAAGGTGCCGCCACCATGGTAGGCATTAAGGCCAAGGCAAACACAACCGAGGAGGATGTTGCTGAAGAATTGATGAAGTCACTCCACCACAAATGGAAGAACCTCCGCAACATGGCTAAGAAGACACAGAAAGAGAAGGGTGCGTGACTGTGAACTTGCTAGCCTCATCATGCTTGTATAAATGGAGACAACAGGACATGTGATGCCTCCCGCTGCCTGAACCTAGTCAATCCATGTGCAATAGCGCTAGCCAGCACATGTGTATGTACACAGGAACCCAAGCTCTATGTATATGTGCATGCATGGTAAATGTCAGTTGCTCCTCAACATGCCATCATCCCTCCTGCTTGCCTACAATTTGACCTGGGCATTCATGTCATGCATGACCCTGCAGGTGATGAGCCAACCCCTGCCCAGCAGGGTGCCCAGGTGCCTAATCATAATACTCTGGACACGGCTGAAGATGGCACCGCGGTAGAC